GGGAAGGCTTTTGAAAGTTGCAAAGTGGACAGCTTGGTGCGACCATTGGTGATTTTGAAAAATACATGGCATATAGGCACAATGCATTATCCTGACTTGTTGTTTGCGCCAGAACTCATTTGATTTGAAAGTGCAAGTGGTGTTGAAACCCATCAGTATTTGGTCTACTGTAACTATATTTTGAAAGTCTTTGACCCATGAGGCCGTTGACGAGAGTTCTAAAGGTTTAGAAAAATGTAAGTTAAGTGGGCTGTAAATGTCCGAGATCTTGAACTTTTGGCGTTACATGAGTGTATCGATTAGCGAAGTACAAAATATAACAGATTTATCAGGAACAAGGTTTTTCAGTTCATTTGTAGAACGTATATAAAGTGGTGGGAAGGCAGGTTTAGTTTCATCATAATGTGTTGAAATGACATAAGTGATCCTGTAGAGGCATCGAACAACTGCACAACATCTACAAGGCCATGAGTAACCCCAAACAGCATACACTGCATATTGCTGCGATGGAGGGAATGAAGGATTATTCTGGATTGGAATGTATCAGGATACCCAGGGGTATGCGTCTAACCTCTCTCCAGGCTATGATGGTATCTCGTATAAGCAGATTTTGTTTTAAGTGAGGTGGAAGAGAGTTGACATTACAATGCAGCAGGGTTGGAAGGCTATATGGGTATACTATGTCTGTCTCAATCTTGAAATTAGAATATCTGGATGATCGGGACAGCCAATCCAAACAGACTCTTAATTTACAGGACAGATTGTACACCCTGTTAGGCAAACCAGATCCCCCCTAGCTCCTTGGGAGGAAGAGTTTATGCAGTGCTATACGGGGGCAATGGCCCTTCCATAAGAATTTAGACAAGGCTTTGTTTAATTTTAAAATGTCTCCATGGCGAAGCTGGAGGGGGATGGTTTGAAAGGGGTAAAGAAGTTTAGGGAAGCAAACCATTTTGAATAGATGAGATCTCCCAAGGAGTGAAAGTGGCAAGTCCTTCCACATTTCCCCTATAATTTTGTCTATCACTGGTGTGTAGTTAAGTTGGTGAAGAGAAGAAGGAAGCTTTCCTATCTTTATGCCCAAGTTTGTGATGTGATTTCTGGCTAAAGGGAATGTTGTATTTAGTGTCCAGGGGGGAGGTCGAGCATGATAGAGAGGGAGTATTTCACTTTTTGCAAAATTTGCAAGGTCTGAGCATTTAAAGCCTGAGCAGTGTCTGAAGTTAGTGAAAATGTCATAACAGTGTTTGTTCTGCAGTGAAATCACACAGCAGTATTGTCACCTTGAGGACAGGGTAGTCTTGCATGGATATGTAATTATAGATTGACTTTAGGTAAGAGACAAGCAAATTTAAGGAGATCTAAACTAATCAGCAAAAGTTTTAAATATTCTAGCTTACTAGTCCTTATATATGGTGGCTACATTTGTTTTCCTTTTTTAAAGCTATGTTAATTTTTTGCAAGTCAAGCAAATATCCGTTGGTCTACCTAAAAGCCCAGTGTCCTTGTTATCTCCTGTGCAATAAACTGAAATATCGGACAATCTTATAAGTCTTCTTAGCTATCGTCTGAAGACTACAGAGCAGCACTACTCTTGATAATGGTGATGAAGGAATGGTGGGGTGTTTTGCAGTCATAACATACTTCCGATCTTGGGGTGGTATGGCTGCTCATTGACATATACTGTACAGTGAATGAGCCTTCTCATTGTAAAAAAAAAACAACAAAAGAAAAACACTAGCCTTGTGCATTAACCAAGGCAACATTTATTTCCAAAGGTAGAAGTAGGTAATGTATTCACAAACAGTAGAACACAGTAGAACAGTAGAACACAACATGTTCATCACAAATCTCCAAACTGGACGACCAGAAACCCGATGTACACACCTCTGGGTAGACTAGACTAACATCACACAGACCTATGGATGGTAATAAATGATGTTTCGGTTAATGCACAAGACTGGTGCGCCCCCTCTTTTGATGTTTTATTAATTATAGTGTCTATGGAGGGAAGCAAGGCCAAGTGAAGCCTAATGGTCTAAGACCTAGTTTATGCTATAGGCACTCCTGCGACTTTATGGGACTCATTCCATACTTGAGCGCAGAAGATTTTTACTATATTGAATAAGCCTTCTCACCCTAGTGTGTCACTGACAGGATCATCACATAAAAATGCATTTAATATTTATTTATTTTAGGTACTTATATAGCGTCGTCAATGTATGCCCACTTTACATACAAATTGTACATTCACATCAGTCCCTAACCCTCAAGGGGTGTACAATCTAAGGCCCCTAACTCACATTCATACATACATATACTAGGGCCAATTTAGACAGGAGCTAATTCACCTACCAGCATCTCTTTGGAGTGTGGGAGGAAACTGGAGTACCCGGAGGAAACCCAAGCAGACACAGGGAGAACATGCAAACTCCAGGCAGGTGGTGCCATGGTTGGGATTTGAACCAATGACCCTAGTACTGCCAGGTGGAAGTGCTAACCATTTAGCCACTGTGCTGCCCAAAAATAAAATGAAAAAGCCTAAAAACATAAAACTAATGCATCTTGGAACAGGTAAAATATATAAACATTTCTTTTTTGGGGTTAGATACACCTTAAAGCCATGTTCCACTTAACACTTTTAGGAAGTTTATGCAACTTTTTTTTTTATGCTTTTGTAATTGTATTTCACTGGGACATTGGGCAAACATGTCATTCTCTAGATGTAAAAAGCTGGTAGAGACATGCCCATAAAGACTTGCAGTGAAAGATGGTTCTACAAAGTATTGACTGGGGGGGGGGGGCTGAATACAAATGATGTCACAATTTTCAGATATTTATTTGTAAAAAATTTTGAAAACCATTTATCATTTTCCTTCCACTTCACAATTATGTGTCACTTTGTTTTGGTCTATCACATAGAATCCTAATAAAATACATTTACATGTTGGTTGCAACATGACAAAATGTGGACAATTTCAAGGAGTATGAATACTTTTTCAAGGCACTGTAAAATCACAATCATATTCCAGATTAGTTGGAGAAACAAGTACACACTTTGATGTCACTCTGATGTCATTGTCAAGTAATGTTTAGTAGGGCTGGAGTAAGTTCTGCTCCTTTTCTCCTATTTAACTAACACCAATTTTAAGACTTTAGTCCTTTAAAGTATTTTTGTTATGCGGTAAATCATGCTTAAGGCTGCTATTGCCTGTCTCCTTTTTAAAAATGCTAGTTGCCAGTTTCTGGCTTTAAAAACATTTGTGCCACATACTTAGAACAAGCATGCTTTACGTGAGTATCAGAGAAATGTCCAAATTCCTTGGCTCAACACTTGTTCCAGATGTATCAATTACCTTTTCTTCATTGGTCAACATTTGTAAGTACACACAGAAAAAACCCTTAGGTTTAATATTTGGAAAACAGGTTTCTTTAACAAGATTGCAAGTATTTTCTCAGATGCAGGAGGCACAGAGCTGTACTACTCAAACACAAATATCAGCATGGCTAACATCATTTAGGAGAAAATAAAGCGGTTTTTCGAGGATTATGCTATGTGTGTTTGTCACATTTGCAGTAAGGTAGGTTTATGCTATCTTTTCAATGAGCCCATGAAAATAAATAAGAAAGCATATAGCCTGCAGCTTGTTTATGTCAGAGATCACAAGTGCAAAAGGTGTAGTCTAAGAAGTTTAATAGCCTGGAATATACAGAGCTGTCAGGCAGGTGGTAACAATGTACCCTTTCACTGCCCGCAGTCACTGTATAAAATCATCTGGAACTATCTAAAATGGTGACGTTATTATCTACTGATGTGCACTGCTACTCTGTATAAATGCTTGTTACATGAATGGGATAAGTGTTGCTATAAAATAATTTTTTTATACACCATGAAAATCATGAATTCTTAGCAGGTATATTTGGCTATATTACCAATACACATATAGGTTTTTATTTTGTTCAGCCTACAGGCTAAACAGAAAAAAAATATAAACAAATTCCTCTATCCATGCTGCACATTGATGGACAAATCTCAGTATCCAGTCACTATAGTTTGACAGCCAGCCATATATATCTGATTGGATGCTGCTGCTGTCTGGCTCCTTCAATTTTTCAATTGAAGGATGCCAGGCAGGGGACTGGCGATAGGGCAGCCTACTGAGTGAATTTAAATTTGTTCATCAGCAACCAGCCAAAATTGGTATGACCACCCTAAATTAACTCAGTTGCTTGTTAAATTAAAATTAAGGAACTCAGAGAATAAAATCAGCAGATCTTTCCTACTAACCTGCCTTTATCTGTCCATTTCTTCCCTACATGGGGGCAAGCATATCCACATTGCTAAGCTCCGCTTTCTTAGGGGACCCAAAATCTTGGCACTCTGTTGAGAATGTATAAAGTGTCTACATCACTCTTTAGAGTTCCATCATGCCCCTGCTGCTTGCCCCAAATTCATGTACCTGTTGGAAACCAACAAGCACCGATTTTTGTTGTGCCGAGGTGCACTGAGGTTGGAGTGCCCATAGGGACACTCCTTCCTCAGTGCAGCTCTGCTCCCTGCCCACCATCGTAGCTGTCATATATAAAGAATGGAGGAGGAGGAGTTTTTTAACTGGGTGGGTAGATTGTGAGGGTTCAAAGATAACAGTTCCCCATCAGTCCTCCCCTCTCGGGAATGACAGCAGGCATTGTGTGGGTTCCATAGCAAATTGAAAGCCTGCTATTTGCTGTGACACTGCCTGTTGTCAATCACAAGTAGAGAGCAGACCTGATGGGGAATTTGTTCCTCAGCTTCCTCATCAGGCCCCATCCACTGCCAGTGTCACTGGTTGCTAGGAACCTGTTGACTGTGAAGCTGAGCAAACATTCTGCTCTACTACACAGTGAACAGAGACGGCACTATTTGTATGCCAACTTGGTCTTAAATACTTCCAATGTTGTTAGCTAGAAACTGGAGGTAATTATTTTTTAATTTGGTGCAGCCATAAAAGTGGCACTATCAGGGGTGGACTGACAACTCATGGGGCCCCCGGGCAATAGAGGATCATGGGGCCCCTGTGTCCTTGCCCAAACTCAAAAAGGCCTATGAAAAAAGTACCAGGGGCATTTAATAGGGCCCCCTACTGACCCCGGGCCCTCGGGGCAGTGCCCGAGTTTCCAAATGGTTAGTCCGCCCCTGTATACACACATACAAAGGAAATGCTTTGTCTGCATTCTTATCCTATTCTGTAAATGTGAGTGCTGAAGAACCTGACAAAAGCTAAAATAAAATAGGACCATCGTTAAAGCAGTAGTAAACCTTAAAAAAAAAAGATTTTCCCCTGCAAGGTAATGTCTTAATGGGCGAGTATGCATTGCTTACTAGCACATTATGAAAGACTTACCTGAGAATGAAGGCCCCCAGCAGCACGCTGTCAACTTTGCAGAGGCTTCCATCTTCACCGGTCTTCCTGCCGGGTTCCAGGACTGCAGCCACTTGAATGGCTGAAGCAACGATGACATCACACTCAGGGGCGGACTGACAACTCATGGGGCCCCTGGGCAATAGGGGATCATGGGGCCCCTGTGTCCCTGCCCAAACTCAAAAAAGCCTATGAAAAAGGTACCAGGGGTATCTCATGGGGCCCCATACTGACCTCGGGCAGTGCCCGAGTTTCCAAATGGTCAGTCCGCCCCTGGGCACTATTAAGAATGACCTGAATCTGTAACACATTACAGTGAAGCTACCAAAACTGGCGACAAGGCTTTTTATTAAATCTGGCGCAGGACCATACCACCAGAAAAGTGATGCAAATGTTTTATTGAATTCACTCCCCCACATAATATATATTATTTTTTCCTTGCGTTGATCATTGAAAATGCCAAAATAATACACAAACAAAAATACTACAGATTTCCATTGAAGACATTGTTTCTGTGCATAAAGAAGCTTTGTGCATAGGGTCTTATTTTACCCTGAGGTTCTCAACAATTTGCGATTTCATCTGATACTCAGTGCAGTATATACAGTAAGCCCTAGCAAAAACATAAAAATACATATTGCTGTCTTTTTCTGTATGTCATTATGGATTTTCTTGAAGGACCTTTAAAAATGGGCAAACACAGACTGGACAGGCTGCATGTATCTAATCTTAAATTATTCAACATAATCTTTTTTACTATTGGATGACTTTTGTGCAATTTACATTTTTAATAGACAGCTACTTTTGAATAAAACATATATTTCTGGAAATAGGATTAGCCATTCTCAAGTTATACTGAGATGGCTGCAGAATCCCTAAACCCTATTTCAACAGGTATTTTAATATTTTCAATTGTTTATTATTGAGTCTATGTAAAAGTCTGCAAATAAAAAGACATTTGGGTGTCCCCCCTTGTATACCTAATGGTCTAATGTTCATTTAGTCTAGGGGAGATAACAGAGAGCAATACCTACATAAGCAGTTGGCACTCTCTTCTGCTCCCTCCTTGGAATATGACTGGTGCTTTCTATGTCCTAACATAAAATGCAGGACCACTGATTCCTCATTGTATAATTTGGTATGTATGTGGGGACATCAGCAAGGGAACAACCACATAATAGGAGGAGAGGAGCAGCTTAATTAGTCTACTTAAATACCAGATTCTAAGGGAATGAAGCCTGCAGGAGCCACAAGTAAGGTAAATATTCATTTCCATTATATCCTCTATACTATACAAGCATTGGTTGATCTGGATGGACTCATGTCTTAATTAACCTGACTAAGTAATTATGTAACTTATTATATAGGAAAATGAGGGGGGCAGCTTTTATAATGGAGTTTGATTTTAATATAGTAATATTCGCAAGCATATTTAGGCTGGCCATAAATGAGTATTTTTTTCTCATTCAACCAGCAGGCCGGACAAAAAAAAATTAGATTTCTCCATCCACACATTTGAGGTGGATAGGGAAATCCTCCCAGCTCCACAACTGTATTCTGACAGCGGGGAGACTTCCCCACACACGAGAATCCACTGATCAGTGCTGCTGGCTACAGCCAGTGGAGCTGATCAAGTGGCAAAAATCGGACAGACTGGTTGTACAGAAGTTGATCTGTCTATACATGGATTGAAATTCAGCCAGTCCCTGTTGAACTGGATGAATTTCCACCCTTGTATGAATGGCTGTAATTTTCTACTTTAATATTAATACAATGCCATTAAAAATTATGGCTAAAACCACAAAGAGAAGACATTAACAATAAAAAAATACAATTATGTATGTAGCCCAAGTTGGTGTACTATATTCATATATACACTAAATTGATATTCGTCTTGTATTTTACTTGCTCAGCAATGAAAGGCAAAGCTAAAGCAGTGCTTTACCACCAATTATGGCACGGAGTCTCAGCATTTGAAACACTTGTCTTTATTGCATCAGTCCAAAAGTCTATTTACAACACTTAGCATTCCCATGATTTATCATGTTATAAATATTAAATATTTCTGTCTGCAAATGTTCAGTTTATGTATTAAAGCCAACTTCCTCCTTACAATAATTAAGCATGTTCAGCAGCAAGCGTTGTTCTCTCTTCAAAACCTTCTACTTCATTGCCTTGCGGAGTCTATTAACAAGCTGTTAGCCCTGAACACAAATTGATGTTTTAATTGGTTCATTCTGCTTCTTTAACCTTCTAAATACTTAACAGGTATTTTTTTTTTAAATTTTTTTTACTGTGGGCTGCTAATATGCTCTCCAAAATGCCACTGTACATCAAAAACGTGATTTTCTATAGACGATGACTTAAAATCATATATGTGAAGCCATTCTTTGTGAATTGTAATAAATCAGAGTTGCAGATCATCCCAAGCACCTCTTCATAAAGTGTCATTTTTCCAGCTCGGTTGTCTTCTGATGTGTCTCACTTCATCAGCCAGTGACTTGGAAACTCCACCACTTGTCAGCTTCTTTTGAGGGTATTTTTATAGCATTTCAGCTTATACTGTATCTTCTAAAATGTTTAGGAAATATGTTTTGTATGTACATTCTTATTCCCTATGTAATTAGTGTTAGAGTTTATGTGTTACTAAAAATATGCTCCAGTGAAATAAAAAAAAGTATAAAAAAAGAAGCAATAACAATGTTTTCTTTTGCTGTGAAGTCAAACATTGGTTCTGGCCTTCCAACCCTTAAGTATTTCAAGTAATATATCTGAGCCTTACTTGTACAGCAAACCTGTGTCTGCTTTAAGCATCTATTCTTGTGCTGGATCCACTTTTTTAAAACACTAACTTCACCCAAAACTGATTTATTTTAGTCTTGAGTGGTTGCTGAAAAGTTAAAATAAATGCTGTCTTGTTGTAACTGTTAATGATGACATTTCTCCAGAATTTCCAGCTCTTCCCAACAGCAATGACCATGTCATGGTCTCCAAATCTATTTTTCAAAGTGTAAAAGTAAAATAAAAAATTGGAAGACTGACTAAGAGGAAGAGATACATTTTGTTTGGCTTTCTGTTAAGGATGACTGTATTGTGGTGTATTGCAATGCATGTGCACTGGAGACCATTTCAAAGGTGTGTTGTGTTGTCCTTCAAACTGAATTCAGTCAATCAGAAAAATTAATTATAGAGTTATTGTTAAAGCGGTTCTAAAGTCTCATTCTATGCATGAAGGTAAAAAGCCTTCTGTGTGTAGCAGTCCATCCCCCAGCCCCCCTTAACACTTACCTGAGCCCCCTCTTGATCAAACAATGTCTACAAAAGCCTCGGTTCTCCGGGGACTCTCACTCCTGATTGGCTGAGGCACAGCCAGTAAGGGAGGGGGCTGGGCCAAGCTGCGGCTCTGTGTGTGAATGGACACACAGAACTGCAGCTCAGGAGGGTGCCTGCTTGGGTGCCCTCATAGCAAGCTGTTTGCTAAGGGGGCACCTAACAGGAGGGAGGGGCCCGGAGTGCTGGCGGGGGACCTGAGAAGAGGAGGATCTGGCCTGCTCTATGCAAAGCCACTGCACAGAAAATATAAGCATAACATGTTTTTTTATTTTTAAGGGAAAAAAAAGACTTTAGTATCACTCTAACTGTTGCATACCAACCCTGCTAAACTTGATGTGGTCAACTAAGCTTCAAAAACCCTTGGTCATAAAATGAATAATTTACATCACCACAATTACACACATTAAACATTGCTCTAAATGGTCCACATTTGTTGATATGTGTTTTTTGATACATCAAAGCACATTTCAGGGTGACAATTGGTGACAATAGCAGTTTTGAATCAAGCTTCATTTTACAGAAGGAAGATTTAATGATGGAAAGTAGAACACCTTCATTCCCAATATACTTTTTTAATAATATTTGTGGACAAGCATTGGGAGTGGTCTTTTATTTAGGAAAATATTTTTCCTATTATTTTACCATTAAAATTATGTGAACAGCTAATGGGTACAAAGGAACACTTTTTGTGAGGTCAGGTGAAGCCAGCTTACCTGTAAACACCTGGGTCTGATAGTAGCTTGCCCGATATATTATGTATATGCAAAATCTGCAAACTGGGTATATACAGGAGCATCATTTCCTTATATCTAGAACTGGATTACGAGTCAGCCATATATGCACATATTTGGTAAAGGGAGTGACATTTCTACCTGGGCCTTCTAAACGAATGAGCTGGGGAGAAATGCCCCCCTGTAGGTACATGAATGCGATTTAAATTTACAAAGTAAAGAATTTATGTGCTGCTGCTAAGTGGATGAAATATTTTGCTATTTTGTTTGTTTTATTTCTGTGTAACATCTGGAGTGAGTGTGGCATCGCCAGTCTATCAAGTAACATGAGAGTTAACAATCACTAGCGCAAATTACTTTTCTTTCTGGTTCAACAGCTGGACAATAAATCTACATTATTCATAATTAGCATTAGTTACATTTTGAATTATTGCATTAATTAATTTTTAATTAGAAGCAATAGGAGAATGTCTGAGAGCTCGACAGGATTGCTCTGTCTGTAAGGTCACTTTTATGGCACATTCTCATTTGAAGGAGATTTAACGAAGCGTTCTTCTGTAACAAGAGCAATAAAAAAAATTTAGAGAAGCAACTGTAAACATTATGACAGGCAACAGAAACTATTTAAAGGCAGGAGTAGTTGTATAAACCATACAATACTAACACACAGATTAGGATGATGTGTTCATTTTACAGTCATGCAACCTATCAAGAATAAAATCGTTGTCATCATTTTATGGATTCTGTCTCGTAAAATCTGCACACTACATTAACGCCTGGGTTATGTTTTTATTTCTTCTATATGTAATTTTTTTTGGAAGAAAATGAGTATATAAAATTAACTGCACTGATATTTTTATTTTCCTGTATAAAAGTGTCTTTCTCGATAATAAACTGTCTGGTATTTTCCTGTCACTGCAAAGTACTGAAATAATGTCCAGGACATCCCCAAGTTCATTTCTGGTGTTCAGTTTTCATGCCGACAGTGAATTAGCAGTGAAATAAGCCAAGGTAACACAGTGCAGTGTGCGTTATAAATTGGGTTGTCACTTATCTGCTTTTGTTTGGCGCCACATTGCCCTCGTAGTTAGCACCTGGAAAGCTTGATAAATTACATGGCTGGCAGGACTTTGACTCCCGTTTTGCTTTGAGGCTGAGAACTTTCAGAAGGGAAATGGGCTATGTAATGCTGGATATCTGCATTAAATATTCTCGTTCAAAGAGGTATTTTATAAGACCAGCTCCTGTGCAGAAGATTTACTGAAAAAAGATCATTTGCACACACTCCTGGACTCAGATTAATAACAGCTATGTGATATAAAAGGCACTAGTCCACATCT